GAATTGGAAAAAATTCTGAATTTAATGAAAATGACAGTATTATTCTTTATTGGAAAAATTGGCAATAATATTAACTCAAAACAGTCACATGACTACATTTAAATAATATCCTATTTGTAGATTTGCTTCTTGTCAGAAGCAATCAACCATGAGAAGCTTCATGACAGTGGCCTTTAACTCATCTCCCTGATACCCCCCACTCAGTCCATCATCCATAATGATCTGGATTCTTCTGGACACTTAAAGTTTGTCAAGTCATGCCTTTCCCCTTCTCAAAACCCTCACATAGTTTCTCATTGCATTTATAATAAAAGCAAAGTGCTAACTGCAGCTTACAAGGCCCTGGCTGACCTCATTCTTGGATACCTCTCAGGTATGATCTGTATGCTTTTTTCTCTTCACTGCATTCATTGAAAGTGCCATGTACCTTCCAGCCTTTACATTGTAGTCTTCCCTAACTATGTGTATGGCTTTCTCTATCACTTTCTTCAGGGCTCTACTCAAAAAGTTATCTCCTTGTAGTCTTCTCTGACCACCCTATCTAACATAGTACATAATCTGTCTATAGCACCTTACTATTTTCCTTCCTATTACTACCTACAATTATATAAGACATCTACTTAATTTTGTCTGTTGTTTGCCTCTCCCACTGAATCAAAGCTGAGATCAAGACTTTTCTGTTTTGGACACATATTCCAAGCATCAGAAATGTAAATGTGCTGTGTTCCATGGTTGAATGTGAACAAATCTAATTAGAAATAACCCCACTATTTATGTTCTAAGATACACTTAGAATAAAGATGATACATTTTGGAGGTAGGAACTGATTGATTGAATGCATGGAGTGGTATCAAGGACTCCATGATTTTTGCCAGGAACACATGGGTGGGTGGAGGTTTCATTTACTGCAGAGGAAGACAAGATGCTGATTTGTTGGGAAGGTGTTCTGTTTTGGACATCTAAAGCGTGAGATGCCTGTGGGACATCAAGTGGAGGTGTTAAGTATGCGTGGGCTATGTAGGTTTAGAGCAGTGGTTCTCAACCTTCCTAATGCCGCGACCCTTTAATCAGTTCCTCATGTTGTGGTGACCCCCAATTTCATTGCTACAAATTGAACATCATTAAAGCATAGTGATTAATCACAAAAACAATATGTAATTATATATGTGTTTTCCCATGGTCTTAGGCGACCCCTGTGAAAGGGTCGTCCGACCCCCAAAGGGGTCGTGACCCACAGGTTGAGAACTGCTGGTTTAGAGTAAGATAATTACATTTCCTTATTGTCTGAATTATTTTGTTGTAGTTTTTAAATCCTTACCCAAGGATATTTTCCCATTGATTTTAGAGAGAGTGGGAGAGGGAAAGACAGAAACATCAGATGTGAAACACATCAGATGCCTCCTGCATGCATCCTGACCAGGGCCCAAGCCAGGGAGGAGCCTGCAACTGAGGTATGTGCCCTTGACCAGAATTGAAACCGGGACTCTCTTGTCTTGCAGGCTGACACTCTATCCACTGAGCCAAACCGGCTAGGGCTGTTTGTTGGAGCTAGGTTTCTTTTAATTGAATTGAAAGGACTGTATTGACATCTCTGGTTAAGCAGAACTCAGATAGACTAGGACAGACTTGCTGACGTAAAATCTGGCAATTTGCAATGATGGGGCCTCTATTTTGTCTAGTGAAGTGAGAGCTTCCTGACAACCAGTCATGATGTTTGGGCAATTGGTCACTTCACCTAAAACTGCAAGCTAATTCTTCAATAAAATGCTTAAATCCTACTGAGAGTGTTCTGCAGGTGAGCAAATGACTATTTAGCATAGTTGTAGAAGAGGCTCAAATATGTGCACCTTGTATAGGAAATGCGTTCTTCCAGCTGTTTCTTCGGAACACTGTTTATTCTAGGTTGCCACTTTAAAAAATTCGAGCTTCGGATACGCTTGCTCTGTTTGTACAGTGTATTTAGCAGATCAAAAATGTGATTCCTTGACTTAGATGTATACATCTTGTCCTGGGTAAAAGTGATTCGCTTCAATCTTAAACGAATTTTTTCTTTTTGCCTCTTATAAGTACTCTAGTTTTTTCTGCAGTTATTGCTTCACAAAAGCTGAATTCAATGAGGATCCGGTATTTTAGTGTGTTATCTGAAACACATCTGAACCTCCTGAAGCAATGGAATTTTTGACGTCATGGACTCTGAGAGGGGATATTGCTTCCTGGCAGTGGTTTGGGTTTCTCTAAGACAGTAATACATAATCTTCAGTCACTTAAACATTAAATTCTTACCTGTGATTATGGAATAAAAGTTTGGTTTTCTCCTTCTTAAGGAACTTCACATATCAGCAAGAAGTCTGAGAAAGTGTTTTTATGCCAGAGATGAAATGGGATGATGGGAAGCGAAGCCTTTTAATTCCTTGGAAGCATACTTAGTTTGCCTCAAAGACATAACAGATTGGAAATATCTAGTACTTTGTCATTCTGTAATTCAACTGACAATTATATGACAATTAGTCTACTCCGTATACATTTATGTATATCCCTAAGATACACAGAATACATTATCTTTGCTCTCTAGGAACTTATGATCTAGTACAACTACATACTTATAATAACAGAAATAAGGATAAAGGGTTGTGTTAATGGATAATTAAGTCTGCCTCAGGGAGTCTGGGAAAGTTTCACAGAAGTAACATTGGATTGGGGTTTTGGCAGATGAATAGGAGTTTACTAGGCAGGTGAGGAATGTGAAAAGAACTAGGATTGAAAGTGTGAGTCCTAAGAGGAATGTTGGTTGGATGTAGGAGCATAGGGTGCAGAGATTTGGACCATAATCTATAGAGACATGAGTGATATGGCATCATACATATGTAGTATACAGTAAAGGTGTTAGCTTTAAAATTATTCCTTTTTTTTTACATCAATTCCAAAAAGTCCAGAAACAACTGGCTGACATGTAAATTAAAATGAACCTTTTGGGAAAGCCTATTACTTTGGTGGGGCATGTCCAAAGCTGTTGTAAGAGCAAAAGAATCCTCTCTTGAAGACAGAAAAGATTCAAGTTACTTCCCTTCAGGTGATCTCCTTAGTTGTCTCTAAATTGGAATATTTGGCTTGAGTACAAATACCTACTTTCTCCTTAGCTACTATTTTGACAGGTGGCGACATACCTGATCTTGACATTGCCTGTGTGTGATTTGCTTAATACAGTAATTCAGTAAGAATATATGTGTATTCTTTTTAGTTTTCAATTACAGTTAACATTCAATTTTATATTAGTTTCATGTGTATAGAATAGTGATTAGACATTTATATAACTTATGATAAGTCTAGTACAGGGGTGGGCAAACTTTTTGACTCGAGGGCCACAATGGGTTCTTAAACTGGTCCGGAGGGCCAGAACAAAAGCATGGATGGAGTGTTTGTGTGAACTAATATAAATTCAAAGTAAACATCATTACATAAAAGGGTACGGTCTTTTTTTTTTTTTTAGTTTTATTCATTTCAAACAGGCCGGATCCGGCCCGCGGGTCGTAGTTTGCCCACGGCTGGAGACTCTAGTACCATCTGCCTTAATAACATACACAGTTATTACAATATTATCGACTATATTCCCTCTACTGTACTAGTAAGATTCTATTTTTAGGGCACTTTCAGAATTTGATCTGTACTCTTGAGTTTTGATTATTCGGTAATGTAAATTTTGCTAACTTGATTAATAATGAAAATTAGGTATTTTTAATCTTCCTATGAGATTTTTGGATAGTGTTCATTTAGTTACAGAGCAGAAAACAAATATTTAAACTCTTCAGAGTTCTTTGCTGTATTTTGCATTAATCTTTGTTTCCCCAACGCCTGGGCACATGCTAAACAAGCAAATAATTACTTGTTGAGTAAAGAAGTACCTAGAAACTGTATTTTCTTCTGGGTGTACTGCATGAACCTGCAAGTCTCAAAGCCCAAATAATCCAGCTTTCAGCCAAGGCATTTGGGATTTCTAACAGGTCTATTAAAGACATTTACTGTTACCCTGCACGAAACGCCTAGCGGTGTGTAAAAAACACACCCCGGGCTCCCACACAGCAAACTCGGACACCTTGTAAAGATGATTCACAGCATTTATATAGTCTACTTAGCACAAGGACTAAAAGTCATTAAAATGAAATGAACCCCGGGCTGATCTAACACTTCCCAACTCCCAGTATTTTCAAATAATCGTGGTAAGGTTTCAGGATTTCAAAGAAAGCAAGCAAAGCAAAACCACCCCTGTTCCTTAAAACACACAAGTTACCTCCTTCTTTAGACGAAAACTTTTCAGGAGAAAAGCAGGCACGGAAAACTCTTACTTAGGAAAACCCATCCTAAACGGAAAAAGAACTAATCGCCAGTGGCCTCGGCCCGCCCGCCGGAGGTGGGCACGCGTGGAGGCGGCCGCCGGGGAAACCTCAATGTCACCCGGGCGACGCCGGCGGGCGGAGCGGTCGCAGTCAGTGCCCGCGTGCAGCCGCCGCGGCGCCCCGCGGCCGGGCGACGAGCGGGGCATCGCCAGGCGCCGCCCCGGGCAGAGCGGACGAGGCTCGGAGACCGCACCGCGGGGAAGCCTCCTTCCTCCGACGGGGAACCACTCGGACTGAAGGGGCAGCGGATGCGTCCCTCCCAGCCCCACCTCCACGCCGCAGGCGCGCCGGCCGCCCGGCCCCCGCCCGCCGCTGAGGAGTGCAGGTCGGGTGGGGGTGGGAGCCAGCCCGGAACCCCCGGGGGCGGGGCCGAGGAAGGGAAATCTCTAGCCGCGCCTTCGACACCGCGCTCCTTGTTCTCGATGGTCCCCGCGCGGCCGTCTTATCGAACGCCACTTCCGGTTCCTTTTAAAGGCCCCACGCTGTGCGGCGCGGCGCGGCGCAAGCCAGAAGGTATAAAAGGGAGCGAGAAGGCGGGACCGAGGAGGAAGGGGGGAAAAAAAAAAATAGCTGTCGAGGGGGCGGGGGAGGTGCAAAGGGCGCGCTCGCGCGTCACGTGACCGGGACGCGCCGTTCTTCCGTCGGCCATTTTAGGTGGTCCGCGGCGGCGCCATTAAAGCGAGGAGGAGGCAAGCGCGGCCGCCGCTGCTGCCGATTCTTTTTTAGTGCCGCGGCCGAGAGCGGGAGTGCGCGCCGCGCGAGAGCAGGAGGCGAGGCGGGCAGGCCAGGGAGAGGCGCAGGAGCCTTCGCAGCCGCGCGCGCCTTCGCTGCCTTGTTGTGTGCTTCGCGCGGTACGGCGGGCGCGCGGCAGCGGCGGGGATTACTTTGCTGCTAGTTTCGGTTCGCGGCGGCGGCGGCGGGTGTCGTCTCTTCGGCGGCGGAGGCAGTAGCACGATGTCGGAGGAGCAGTTCGGGGGCGACGGCGCGGCGGCGGCGGCAACGGCGGCGGTAGGCGGCTCCGCGGGCGAGCAGGAGGGAGCCATGGTGGCGGCGGCGCCAGGGGCATCGGCGGCGGCGGGAAGCGGAGCCGGGACCGGGGGCGGCACCGCGGCCGGAGGCACCGAAGGGAGCAGCGCCGAGTCGGAGGGGGCGAAGATCGATGCCAGTAAGAACGAGGAGGATGAAGGGTGAGTAAGGGGCGGCCCGGGATAGCCAGGCCCAACTCTCCCCCCCTCCCCCTTCCCGCTCCCCGCCATTAGGCCTCGCTCCCGCTCTCCGCTCGCCCTCCGGGTCCCCCTGCAGCCGCCTGGCGCTGTGCCCCTCTTCTCGCCGCGGGGATCCCCGGGGGCGCTCACTGCCTTCGCCCCGTGCCCGCCCGCCGCCCCCTCCCCCATCACACACGTTTCCACCTTTAGCCATCACCACGCTGCTCCGCGGCCCGCCCTTATTCCCTCCCTTGCCCTGCGTCTCCTCCCACCGACTTAGCCGCCAGGATTTTTTCCCGCCTGTCGAGGGCACCTTCCCCCCCCCTCGCCCCCGTCTTGACTGCTCCCCGTTTCTGAAGTCCAGGGCGTAAAAAATGCAGACAGATACCAAGCCTTTATGCAACTAAGGTTTATTTGGGGCGACTCGCTCCAGCATCCCGAGACGATGCGATTGTTTTACAAAGTACGTGCTTTGGGGAACGTGTAGGCTTCCACCTGTGCTCCCGTTTGGGCTTCAGGCCGACTTTTACTTATTTATTTTTTAGTATTTTGAAGAAGTTTCGCCTCGATCTCTTCGCTTTTTTTTACTGTACGCTATCGCACAGCGGCTTGCTTACCCTAGCCCCTATTTTTCAGCCTAGGGGACAGATTGGACGAGGCGAAAGTCCCCGAGTCGCCTCGCCTGTGGGTGCCTTGGTTCTGCCCCACGGGCTCCGGGTCAGTTCCCGGTCGGCGGGGCCGGCCCTGGACGGGAACTGTTCTGCCTCGGGCTGCGGGCTGCCCTGCCCCCACCCGCCGCGCTGCACTCACCACGCACCCTTCTCTCGCTCTCAGCTGCTGGGTTCCCCCATGGTTCCTACGGATGGTACTCTTACCCACTTTACTTTTTCTGTGCCATTTCCATTTTTTTTACAAAATCCTTTTTTCCCCACCCGGGGCCCAGGATCCTTTTTTTGGTCTCTCTCGATTTCTCCTTCCTGCTCTTACCCACTGTTACAGGAGGCCCACCAGCCTTTTAAAAAATGAACAAATCCTGTCTTATGCTATGGCATAACTTTTTTGTTTTGCAGGTTTTTAAATAGTAACTTGCTACCTCCCATTGGAAATGGTTGTGCACCTTACTTAAAGCTGCACTTAATATATATTAAAATGCAGCATTTGGGAGCGGGAGTTAGCAGGAGGAACTAAATAGGGGTTCTTGGTTGGGTTTTCTTAACTCCTGTTACTACCCATCTTGGGTTAAGCTTCCAATCCTTTTTGTAGTGTGTGTGTGAGAACTTATTTCATTATAACAAGGGGAAAAGTGTTGGAAGGTAAAAGCAGTTGGGAAAGAGCACAAGATTTGGAGGGAGGAGAGAGAAGCACTTTGGAGTACAGGATCTAATCTAAGCCCAGACAGACTTGTCCGGCTGTTTGCTGACTGCTGACTGGGAGACGAGGTGGGATAGGAAACTAGCTTTTCTTAATTAATCTTGAATAATGTATAGCTAAATTTAAGAAAGGGTTATGTTAAATATTTGGAAACTTAAGCCTTACTATTTCGGTTTTTGTTTTCTGAATTCTGTTATTTGGGCAGAGGTACCAAAATGAGTAATTGTATAACTTGCTGTTTGGGGCAGGCTTCCTGTTAACCTTGATTTTTCAAATCACAAAGTAGCTGCCTTTGTAGTTATCTACTGTTGAACTGAAGTGTAAATTAATTAAAGTTTTTAACCCTAACAATGTCAAAAACTAAAACTAGAATTTTGATTGGTTGCTGTACCGGTTGTTAATTCCCTAGCCATTCAAACTCCTCCCCACGACACTCTGAAGCAGCGACGACACAGCGGGAAGAATGGTAAAACTTTTACATTTTATTTCTGTATTATAAAGGTTTCAATAGTCATAACTTGGAGAGGCTGTGTTTTGGTTTGTTGCCCATTGACTCCCCAGGAAATTATAGACATTAGTACAGTAGGATATCTTGTACCTGGGATATAAAACCTTTTTAGGTATCATGAGTGATCTTTGGGCAAAACTGATGCTATTACATGGTTTTTGTTCTGTGGTAATGCATGTAATTGTGGTTTGGCCAATTAAAGCTTAATATAATTAGTAATGATTTTTTAAAAATCTGAGCAAGAAAAAAACGTATTTCTAATTTTATTTTTGTTTTTAAGAAAAAGATAATTTTGGAATTATAAGTTTAGTGCTAAATGTGAAGGTTACTTGATATAAAATCTTGTGTTTAAAATGTCTTGCATGTTAAATACTGAAATATTCTGGAGATGTCAAAAGTAAAATAATTTTAAAAGTAGCATTGTGTATATATATATGCAAAACTGTATTTTATCACCAAACCTATTTATTTACAAATATACCTTTAAGAATTGATATGTACTATTCAAAGGTGGGCTGATGTGGCTTTCCTCTAAAGGTCTTAAATTAGATTTTTTATTTTGAGTGATTTGGCTGGAATGTTAATTACAGTTGGTTGACATGTTCACAGTTGCATGACTTCTCTTTGGAAGACTAGTAGATTGACTTTTTTATATTATTCCTTTTCTCTAAAGCTCAGTCTTTCTTTAGGATTATATTAGAGTTTTCCAGGAGTTTTTTATCCCCCACTACTGGAGCATGGAGGGCCAGTAGCAGATAGCTGCCTTATATGTACAAATTACATTCCACAAAGAGCCCAGTAGGGATGACATTTAACTTGAGCTTTTCTTGTTACTGTATTCTCATCCACGGAGATCTGTCCAGTTTTATATTGGAGATAAAGCAGATTGGAAGCAGCAGTAGTCTAAAGGGAAAAGCAAAAGAAGAAACCGGGGTCAGAGTTGGACATAAAAAATAAAAATGTTTCTGATGAAAATTATACTCATACCGATACTTTACTGCTAATAGTGACACACTAAGATTAAAGGATAACTGTACTTGGTTTTTCTACTCCATTATATATTTCCAAATCTTGTGTAAGCAATTATTTTCAGTAATTTGTAAGGACCATAAACTTAGGTTATTGTTTTACTCTTGTAAGAATTATACTTGCCTTGCTACCGAATAGTATAACTTCACAAGTTTTTTGAGTGACCTCTCAGGAAAAATTGGCACTTAAATATTTATAGTTTAATGAAAGTTTTAGATTCAGTCTGATTATTACCTATTGAAAATAGGAGGTGCACTTTAAGCAAATTTACATTTAACAAATAATGCTTTTCATTTTTAAAGTCTTAATATTTGACCTTTTAAAATTATTTCCCACCCAGCCTCATCCTATTAATATAATACTGTTTTACTTTTTGAACAAAAAAAACCCCTCAAGACCATTAAACAACTTTTTTGTGTCTGTGCACTTGCCACCCTATCCTTTTTCCTTGTCTTCCTGTTTGAGGGACATTGGACAGCAATTTCATAATAGTCTCAATAGTGAGGATAAGACTGCTTACTAGATGTAAAAATCATGTAAATTTAATTTCTTAAACACATTTCTGCATGTATTTCTTTTTGCAATTCTAACTTGGGAATAAAGTGATTACAGTTTCATACTAAAATATTTTTGAAATCATTGTGTTGTAGACTTAAAAGTTTTCTCAAAATCTGAATATAAGACTAAACAGCTGTTTTGAGGAGGGCATGCCTATTACATACCTCGAATAGATGTTTTCACAGTTTACTATGGGCTTTTGGAGTAATTTTCATAATTAAATGCCTTCCTGAATTCACTTCATTTTAATCTTTCCAACTTTAATATCTTAATTTTTATTAAGAAGCTTTTGCATTGGAGTTTCCTCTTTGGGTATGGACTCATGTTCTCTACAGGGCTGCAGTTCTGTTAAGATAGATGCTCGAAAATTAGTGTCTGGCAAAATGGACATGCCATGTAGCAAAGCAATTTTTAAATTCTCATGCTCAGTGGAAAACTATAATTAGCTTTTAGACACTTTTACAAAATAGGTACATTGACTGGTTTGGATTGGGCAGGAAGCAAAATAGTTCTATTCAGTTATAGCAATACTTTTCTAATAATAGGATATTTGATCTAATTACTAGTGTATAAACTGTAGTGTGATTAGTTTGTTTGGAAATATAGGTTCTCTCCTTTTAATTTTTAAGAAATGGGACTATACGTTTTTGTTTTAAATATTTGAGATCATAGTATACGCTGGTGCTTTGGGGCATTCTGAACACTATTTGCTCTGTAAAACAATTTTAGAACAGTCTCATGCCAACTTTACTGGCCTTTGAGTCAGTAAACTTGAGACCCTGAGTAGATGGGGTTTGAATTATAGCATTCTTTGGAACCTTTGACAGGTTTCCAGTGTTTACATTGTAGCAATTGATGTCCCCAAATCTTGAGGTAATGAACATATAAGATACTATAAAAATCACCTGACCTTTTGGGTTTGGAATTAGAGAATATCATTGAAGTTTTTCGGTGCTCATTTTTGAGATAAATATACTTGCCTAAGCCTGTTTTTCCTCAAGTCGTGTGACATCTATAAACTAGTTGTTTATTCACTGTGTAGTTTTAATATTGCCTGAGTATTCTGTCATGTAAGGCTGCCCTAATATAAGAAAGTCTTTTCTACTGTGATTTATGACCAACATGTAGGATGGTTCATTTTAGTCTTCAAGTGATACATGCCATACTTGAAAACATTTAAAAAGGAACTTCTTTCCTATTCTACTTAAAGCTGTGCACCTCAGAGGTGTGCAAGTTCACAAATGGAGTGAAACATAACTTTTGTTAGTTCAAAGTTTTATTTCACTTTAGTTCTGCTTCAACATTTTAGTAGATAGGGCACTGAACTGGATGCTGGAAGCGTGGGATCTGTTTCTCTTACTTCACTTCCAACAGTGTGGTCTCAGGTAATATAACATGTTTGTTACTTGGTTTGCTGATCTATGTGTTGGAGACAACTGCTCACCACAGGAAGATTGACTACATAGCTTGCTTTCAGTTTGTGTGTATTTGTCCTGTGTCTTAATAGTAGATACTGCCAGTGATTTACTCCTGTGGAGTAAAGGTAAGCATGTTTTAGTTTCTGGAGTATTATATTGTGCATTGGAGCTAGATATTTAAGACGGGTGGGGTGGGAAGACTTATTGGCAGTGTTTGGCCAGTAGTTAGGGTGATAGTTTAAAGTATTGGGTCATGTTCTGTAAATTCCTGCTTACCTAGACTTGAAACTATCACAACGCCCAAACAACTAGGAAAATCCCCCTGTAGCCCTTTGAAAAGGGTGAAAACTATAAGTAATAAAAAAGCAACCAACAATGTCATGGGATGAATCTTCTATAATTTTTCCCTTATACTATTAAAAAGTTAAAGAATCGCAGGATCCTGAAATTTCATCAGTAAAGATAAAAATCATTTTCTGAGTTTAGTGTTGATATTTAAATTGATTTCCAATGCATATTGTTATAGAATAGTGAATGTAGTAATCTCAGTTAACCAGAACCTTAGCCTCTAGGTTAAGGAAACCCTATTCCTTAACCCCTAGGTAGATGGGACTTACAAAACTTGAGAGTTTATTTGAAAAGTAAAAATACAAGATGTCATTCCTGTCTTGGAATGAAATGAAGAAAAAGGGGAGATTTGAGGTTAAACATTTAAAGTTTATTTAAAACCTGTCATGTTTAGTTTATTAGCTATGATGTTTTCAACTTAGTTTTCTTTTGTCATTTCAGTTCATTCTAAAGTATAAAGTAATGACATTTAATAATATACTAAGGTAGAAAAATTAATGTTTTATAATGACTTGCTAAAAGTTTGTAAACTATTTCTAAAGGTATGTTTCACACAGAATCTAAAATGATTAATGTGATACTATTTAGCTGAAAAAAGTAAACCCATCCCTTCCATTATAGGTAACTGGTGGCTTTAAAATCTATAATTTCTAAGGGGGAAAAAAGTGTTGGTGAGATTTCATTATACTTAATTTAAGATTTTAAAGGAATAACTACAGTGATAAAATACCAAGAAATTTATTTAAATAAAGGTTAGTGGTATGCTTGAATAACATTTTGAAAGGTGACAGTGATTGGCTAGTCAAATACTTGAAATGTAAATCACATTTACATTTTGTTGTATTTTTTAAACTGTCAGAACTTGTTATGAAACCACGAATGAAGATCGTGATTTGTTCGGAAGTGTTTGAGAGTTATAGAATTGGGGGGGTGGAGGGTGGGGGGGGGCTCCCTATTCCAAAATTGAAAGTCTAATAATGCTTATAATTTTACCTTGAATAAGATATTTCACACTAAAGACTTGTTAGGGGAAGTAACTTGAAATAAAATACTGTTGGTTTTGGAATGTTAAACCTAATGACCTCAAAAGTACAGAGAAAAAGTTCCTTAGATGGGAAAAAAATAGAAGTATTATATCAGAACATTTCCCACCAACCAGCTCTGCTCCATATGTATTGCCTTTTATATTTTGCAATTATTCCTTACTAACATTAACTGGTGTAGAGTACAGACTGGTGTTTATGTAGAGACACAGTAGTCATAAGATGATTTTTGGAATTAAACTTTTAGTCTTACACAACCTGATTTTCACTCTACATACATTTTTTTACATGGGATATTTAAAAATTTCTGCGTTAAGTCTGAAAATAATCTTAGGATCCATTATATAAAATTCATCCTGACCTTTCCTCTTAATGTTGGAAATGTCATATAGTTTATGCAGATTTAAGTTATGCCATTGAATACATGAAAAAGTTGCTTTGTTAAATTATATTTAGATATTTAGATTGTGCTCTACCACTTCTAAATAATAACTTATTTTCATTGAGCATCAGACTATGTTCTGTGCCCTTTTAGTATGCTAATTTAAGGTAGGCTCTTAGTCTTTTGTTTTGTTTTCTTTTATAGATGTGGAAACAATCATGGAATTTTTTTCCCCCTTTGGGGTCACAGTTAGTAAGTGGTGGAGGTAGGATTTTGGTTTACTGCCTCTAAATTTATTTTCTCTAAAGTATATCCTACAAAGCAGCCTAAATTTCTAAAAGACACTGGATAGCATTTAGATAAGTTATTTGCACTCAATTATATAAATTTTGCCTGTCATTTACTGTAATATGGGGTAAAATCAATATCAGTAAAAGTAGAGACTTCAATTGTTGAGTGGGTGTTCTAAATTGAATAGTATATTGCCTTTGGGGTGCTAAATACCTTATAGGTAGAATTCAAAAACTAAATGGTTAATAAATTACTGTAGGTGAAGTCCTACATTTTAATTGGGGTTATTGATTTACTTTTAAAACTAAAGATCAAATTTTAAACTGTATTCCAGCATTAGGAGCCCATTTTTGTTGCTACTTGAACAAATCTTGTGATGTAGTTATAACTTGGCTGCTTAGGATTTTTCTGACGTTCTATCTGTACTTCATTGTAAAGTGTTTGCACATCTCTGCAGGAGTGACAGCATCTTGGAAGTCAGTCTTTGTATTCAAGGCAGCAGAGGTAATCTGGATGGACAATAGGTATTGTGCTTTAAGCAAGATACAATAATATAAAACATAGAAACTTTAAATTGGTATCATCTTATACCATCTCAATTTGAGGGAGAGCATGTCAGAGTGCTGATGTTCTAGAGAGGCAAAATAAGTTCCCATTTATCCAGAATTCAGATAACACTTCACTGTACCATACTGTCATGTTTTGGTGTACCTATTGAATAAAAGATGGAATGTATTTATATTTAATATGATCCATTTAGTACAGATCGAATGGACTTGGTACAGTTTGTGTTCATTGTAGTGTATTTACTTGTCTGGTAATCTGTTATGCAGCAACCATACTTAGAGCAGAAGAAAAAGTGATTTTTGGCCTACCAAATGGAAATACATTTGCCTCAGAAGAGCCACTAAAACTCTTACTCAGACTACTGTATACTTTACATAAAATTTGGAAAGTTTGAATTTCACCTACCTATCTTACCAAAATGGGTGGTGGAAGGCCTTTTAGAACAGCAACTGGCGATTAACCTGGCAAAAATGGAAGTAACTTCTTAAAATTGCTAAGACATGGGATGTACTAAGTGTGTTAATAAATAGCTCTAATTTATAATAGCATGATATATTCGGGATGACTGACCCGAACAGTGTCAAATTATGATTACTCTACTTAATTAAGGCAGAAGGGTGATATGTTGTAGGTGAAAATATTTTATTCCAAATAATTGAATGCTAAAGAACAGTTGGAGAGAGATTTGGGAAGGCTGGCAGTGCCTTAAGGAAGGTGGAATATTTGGCTTTTGTTCTTTCAAGGTGTTGGATAGCTGAAGTTTTCTACATGTTTTGCTCTAAATATTTTGAGAAATAGTAATCTTAATATGTATCAATTACAGTTGGCCAGAATATTTTATATTCTGAAAATGGAATTTGATGGATTAGGAAGGATAGCATCTTCAGTGACCTTTTCAGTTCTGAGGTAGACACAGTTAACGACTTCTCTACCAAAGACTATTAAAGGTGGGAAGTTTCTTTGGAGAGCACTTTTATAGGGCTAGTTAATGAATTAGTATGCTTATCTAATATTTAAGAAAACTGACTTCCTATGCTGTAAAAAAGACATTCGGGGCTTGTGAGTAATAATAGAACATGCCTCATTCTTGGTGTTAGAATTTATTCTTTGCGATTGTTTTTTCTTAGTTTAAGATAATCCAATATAAACATTGCCTTGGTAAAATAAAATTAAAACTAGTTTTGTCTCAAATACAAAAGCCTTATTTTAAAAAGCTAAAGTTGAAAGGCAAGAAAATTCTGTGTCTGGTCTGTTAGATATTTAGAGGCTGAAATGATTTCAAACCTAAATTATTGGTGAAAACTAATATTTACAGAATTGGTAATTTAAAATTTAAATTTCAGCTTGAAGTTGTTTCTGTTCTGGAACTTGTAATGGATAAATGAGCAAGAGGTCATTGCTTTACTAGTCAGTTTTCTCATCTTTAAAAAGAGTTACGTCCTAACCTTGAAAGTGTAAATGTTGGTAATGAATTTTCATCTATGAAGGAAGTTCTCTGGATCTTTAGGTTAAAAAATAAGGTGTTTAAGGCAACTTAAGTGACTAGGATTGGATATTACAAGGTGTATTACTTGAATGAAAGAAAATGTAATTGAAAATACCTCAACTCCCTCCCCCCATTGAATTAGCAATAAATGTTAATACCTATACAACATGGATGTTTTGGTTATGTTCATTTGATTATAAAATACAAAAAAAGGGTTAATAAAGGTTACTTTAAGCGTGGAAATGTTATCAGAGAAAATCCAGAAAGTTAAGCGTATAAAGGGCCCAACTCTAGAAACATGTACAAGTTGAAAACCTGACCTGAAGTGGGAAGCACAATGTATGCCTTAGTAAGACTTCTTTTTCATTAAAAGTTAACTTTGTTATTAGAAGTAAAAATAAGTTCATGGGTAAAATAGTAAGATCAGTAACACCTCAGTTAATCTGGCATCTTTAGGGAGAAGCAGAAGCAAGATCTTATTCTAGGGATAAAATTGGCTTCTTGTTGCAAGAATTGGCTTTAGTGGTAATATTTTAAAACCCACAAGGTGTTGATATTTTCTGCTTTAATTTCTTTCCACAGCTGGAAGTTAGTACCACATCCCCATCCCTACCCCGACCCACCCCAGTTATAAAGATGATAAATCGGTGAGCAAGGATGATTTTATTCCCTGATGAAATTGTTAGCCCTCACATAACAAATTCTGACAGTTTACCCTTAAAATAAAAATCTCCAGTCCTGTCTCTTTAAAGGGTAGAAGGTATGTCATATGATAGTTCTTTTGTGGAGGGGGACATAGGGCACAGATCTAAAAAGGATCACAGAGTTGCTAGATCTGAGCTTTATGGCCTTTTGCTGTTTACAAAAAGATAAATTTTTTAGTAATATATATTTTTGTTCTTAAAGTGTCTTAGTGGTTTCTATTTACCACCAGTCACTTTTAGCATTTTAACGGTTTACATATTTTATTGCTGGTTAACTGAGGTTCTACTGTAAATAACTCATCTAGGTTAATTAGTGGATTGTGCTTCAATGGATAATTCTTTTTGTTCACTGAATTGTTCAATGATCACTTTTGTCTTTATTAAGGACTTCAGATGAAAAAACTTGGTTAACAACTTGTGATGTGAGATTTAGAATTTTCCATTGTATGTGCTAAGAGTTTTGTTAATGAGAACTATTAAGTAGAAAAGAAGTTCAGCATAGACACGCTGTCACTGATCAGTGGGGAATAAATAGCCTTTTTATACGTATAATGAAGGGTTGGAAGGGAAATTTGAAGCTAAAATTCTGTATTTTGCTGTTACCAACATTTAACTTGTAATTTAAGAAAGACTTAATGTACAGGTTTTTTTTACTTTGGGGAGACATTATCTTTGCTAAGTCAAAAAACTTAATCTGCTGCTTGCTCACTATATTGTAATTATGCAGGCGCAGTAGTGATAAAGCAAAACTTTCCAAAACTGGAATAGGGTGTTCTTGATATGTGGTTATGTAGGAAGAATGACATTTTCACATACTGCCCAGTAAATTGGTGCAGTCTGAAAAAGGAGATTATTGATGTCGATACTTAGGGCAAAGTTTGTTTTTGTTTTTTTGTGGTTTTTTTTTTTTTTTTTTTTTTTTTTAGCATTTTAATATTGCTTTTTGTCTTTACAGGAAAATGTTTATAGGAGGCCTTAGCTGGGACACTACAAAGAAAGATCTGAAGGACTACTTCTCCAAATTTGGTGAAGTTGTAGACTGCACTCTGAAGTTAGATCCTATCACAGGGCGATCAAGGGGTTTTGGCTTTGTGCTGTTTAAAGAGTCGGAGAGTGTAGATAAGGTAGTGTGTTATGTGTTCTGATTAATTAATAATTAAAAATGTTGATAGCTTGATAAAATTAATTTGCCCATTTGTGATCTTCCCTTTTGCAATAATATGAAGAGATACAATTCTCGCCATTACATTTAATGAAGAGTTAGATTCAATAATTGTTTACTGCAACAACTATAGTTCTGATAAAAAATTTAAAAATATGCCCAAGTATAAAAATAATTTATTGAATACGTGTATTCTGTGTGCCAGGCTCTACTAAATTAAAATTAACTTTAAAAATATTGAGACTTAAAGATGACTAATAAAAAGGATGCGCTGGGACAAGTTTATAGAAGTACAGTTCTTTTTGTTTTGAAATTTGCTAAGCAAGAAACTTAACTGAGTCATTTTGACTTGGACTAAGGAGAAGAGGCAATCATTTCTCTATTGCTGATAGTTAGAGATGATGTTTTGTAGTTATTGATTTTGGTCTTCCATCCTGGTTCTTACCTTTATGTTTAAATACTGGTGTCACATCACTAAAATTTGACAGTTTAATCATGAGCCAGTCAACATATACTTAGCCTTAGCTATATTAATTTAACTATAATTATATTTAGATAAGTTAATATTAGTCTCTGAACTTAAGATATACATATTTAAAATAAAAAACTTCAATTTCCTTAGGTCATGGATCAGAAAGAACATAAATTGAATGGGAAGGTGATTGATCCTAAAAGGGCCAAAGCCATGAAAACAAAAGAGCCTGTTAAAAAAATTTTTGTTGGTGGCCTTTCTCCAGATACACCTGAAGAGAAAATAAGGGAGTACTTTGGTGGTTTTGGTGAGGTATGTGATATTTTGACCCAGTTTTCTTTCCAGATTAGTGGAATATAATTGTCACATTAAGAGTTTTTCAAAGTTTTAAACAGATTATGCAATTATTTTTGCAATGATATTGTGAATTATTAGCAGATCTTTAAAGGTTGGATGATTGCATTTTTCCATTTATTGAACTATATGCATAGCACTGCTGTGCATGGTAAAAAAGATGAAATAGACATTCTTATCTCATAGAGTTTACTATGTTAATAGAAAAAATAAAACAACATGAAGAAATCCAGATTGGATTACCTGAGAGAAGGAAATGGTTCAGCTGAGATTAGGAAAAGAATGAATTAAGAATAGGGTTTGGTGTCTTCTAATTTAAGTACTTGTATATGTGCAAATTTTATTAGGCTAAGTATAGACAGTGAAATAGTGAGAAGTTTCTTTTGTGGATTAATGATTTAAAGCTGAGAAATATATGACTTTGAGCTGCAAATATAGTTTGCAGATATAGCTCACAGGCATCTTTTGCTTGATTTACAACTGAAGCATGTTTTGATGGTATTTAGAAGTGGAAATATTTCCCACAAAAATCTGAATATCTAGCTTTCTTAAATATTTATAAGAGTAAGCAACTTTGGAACTGCTTTCTTGTATGCAACAGCCATCTAAAGGGAGTAGAAGTTTCCACCTTTGGCAATCACATGTTCTTCAGTTTTCAGTGGTCCTCAACACACACTATTTTCTCCCAAATGCGGTCTCTCTTATTCTGGTTTTTTTTTTTGAAAATGTAATATACCTAGGGCCTTTATTTCTGTCTCCATTTCTATTATCATCCCTCCCCATACAGCAGTTTTATAGTTATATCCATGCAGCCATACAGGTCCCTATACTAGAATCAGGTCTCACAGACTTATTCACATTTTGCAGCTTCCTTTTATGAGACAAGGTAAACTGCTCTGTCCCCCCATGCCTATCTTTTTTATTTTTTATTTATTTTAAGC